ACGATCAAAAGCCGAAAATGCCGTTCTCTACGCCAAACAGTCGAAGATAAGGTGTGCCGGACACGTAATGCGCATGAATGGTAACCGATGAACAAGAGCCATTAGTGACTGGATTCTTTGGGATTTCAAACATACTGCAGGGAGACCATTGACCCGATGGTTAGAGTTCTTCACAAAAAGCCTTGAAAAAAGATATGATGCTCGACGAGTCCCTAGAGCGTGCAAAACTCACTGGGCTACTCTTGCGCGCAACGGGGAAAAATGGAATATTTACTGGAGCCCGCTCGAGTCACTCGACGGTCAACGGGACTACAGGTGATGAAGGTGATGAATAACAAGGTTGCTCAAATAAACCCTTTAGTACCTACGTAATCACATTGTTGTCTTTCGTAGCAGCTAACGTTTCAGCGAAATCCTTACTCTTTAGTGTGATAATTGATACTTGAACGGCCCGTCCTCACTGGTTGTGTTAGCCTCAGGTCAATCACCATTTTTCGGAGAATTGCTTGTTAAGCCTTTCTGGATCTCTGGGATTCCGAGGTATGCATGGCCAAAGCTTGCTCCAGGTCTTCACCTCCACAGGCTATGGCAGCCGTTGTTGATTAGAGAGGGATTTTCCACCATGTAACTTTTATACTAGGAAGGTGGTGGATACTGGTATTGGTTCACACTTAACTAGAGCTCTTGATGAAAACACCGGCCTCCTTCTCAGCTTGGGGGAGCCTGCATGGGTCTGAATCTCCCCGCTGTACGTCGCGGTCGGTCACCTAGGAACACCTCCCAGCCACGATGAGGCGGTAAACCGTTGGGAGGATTCCTTAGTGTGATTGAAAAACCATGTTATTGTGTTGTCCATCAGTCACATGATATGCAGATCTGTGAACACGACCTTCTTTGTTTCCGTTTACTGCTTTCTCTTTTACTCTCTTTCTAGCAAGTTATACCGCCCATGCAGATTTTGTACTCTACTGGATATGCGCAGGACAGAAATGTATAAATTTTTGTTTAAAGCTGTAATTCTAAGGTAGGAATGAAAAGCGTAAGTTCTACATATTTTTAGCCATTATGCATACGAGCATAAGGAACGAATGTCTTATGAACATAACGCATAAACGATAATGCTCTCGACCTTGTTCAATCCCTCAGGATGAGCCATGCACTCGACTTCATTGAATATCGTTGAAGGTGACTGAATGCATATCTGCCTTTTACAATGACTCGCGGTGGCCTATCGATGTATCGAGCCAGTGTTGCTATCCTCCCAGACATACCTGATACCAACTTGTCGACCTCGGCGATGGAGAGCTTGGTGAGCCTGGGTCGCAGAAGTTGATCCCAGCAGTATTGCAAGGCTCTTGTGACCAATGCGCTACGCGCGCCCCCTGCCTTATAATCATACAATACTAGAGGAGGACTTCATATCAAATATGTGAAGCTTTTCGCGTTTTCCAAGCAATCCGTTTTCACTCATGATCTCTTATTAGCGAAGGAGACTAGTGAAGACCTTGCTGGTTCGCGTTCACATCACTTATTAGTGCATTAGATAAATAAGAGGCCAAGATGGTATAGTTAAGCGTATGTCGAATTTTACAATATACAAATAAAAGAACTTAAAGTTATGTTGAGCACTGGGATTTGACCGATTGGTTCCTGTCTGATAATGGGAACTTCCTTTACTACCTACATAAATAGATTTCAAGTGATGCCTCAAGACGAAACTTCTTAATAAAGTTGCCATTTACATATTAACAAGCAAAACATCCTTGTTCAGATGTATGTACAAATTTCCCAAGGTTCACATAAACCTATGCAACGCTGAATAATCACCGCAATGATTTTCGAAAAACAGTATTCAACACCTCAAGGTGATGCGTTTTGTTTGCTTCGCTCTTGGTCTGCCTAAATATATATATATATATATATATATATATGTGCATATATACACATATATATATACATATATATATGTATATATATATATATATGGTGAATTATTCAACTGCAAATGTGGAATTCAAGATTTTATGTCATTTTTCAGGTAAGATCTTACGAAAACTAATTAGTTTTGATTGTAAATAATTTTCATTGTAGTAATTTGGATATAGCATAAATAAGCATTAAAGAAAAAGCATCGGATAGGAATTTGACGACATTGGTTCAAAGAAGGAAAAATGACATAAAACTATCATATTGCGAGATCAGCAGCTTTCGATGATCAATACTCGATAAAGCCCCACATTTCATAAGCTTGCTCCTAAACATGAGAAGCAGCTTGTTTCGATGAGAGTAGTTGACGCGCTTCTCGTCCGTATATTTCGTAAAATTCTTTGCTAACATTCTTTACACGTCTGGTTGATTTGGGTCTATCCATCTTCGTAAATGTCGATAGATGTGACACCACACTTCGTGTCAGCGCTTTTTTTTAATTAAAGCTAGAAAAGAATAAGCCATCTTCTAATCACTTTCAATTCTCTGTTTAACTGCTCCTCACAGTTGGGATTAAACCACATAGATGTTCACGGTTGTCGTTTCTGTACATTGGCCGGGAGTTCGTGCGACTTTATTCCAAGGGCATTATCCTTCACTATGGCCTAGTGGAAACAAAGAACAATACATTTTTAACAACCAAGCAGAGGAACCATTGTTTATGTTAAACTACCTATATAGACTATATGCAAGGGTAAAAAAAACTTTATTGAAGCGGACTTTTGGAATCTGTTAATACTCCTGTACTTAAACTCAGTGCTCAATGTCTGAACTGGAATAGCCAAAAGCTCTCATACAGCATTCGTACGTGCTGTTGACCAGGGCATTACACCAAAAATTAGCACAAACCAAACCCTGCACATCTTCACTGCGATGAATCGGCAAATTTCAGGCTTTGTGGTTTTCATTATAGTGTTGTTTACGACATACTTGTACATCTTCATTGAAATTTATTGGCCCATCGTGGTACTGCCGATTTCCATAGTGATGATCTGGATCATCACGCGACTGCATATCTTCTTTGCAACGAATCAGTAGATTCAGCGATTTTCGACCTTCGTACTTAATGGGCCGGATTTTCACAGTTTCTTCAAATTGATCAATTAACTCGGATACCGACATCTTGGTGGTATTCAATTTATCGCTGCTTTCATCCTCGTATCTATAACCTTCCTCAAGTTTCTTCGGATGGTCATTCTGAGCAACTACGAGTCCACGGCCGACTAAATGACCTTGGATGGACTCGGGTTTGGTATAAAAAGTTACATAGTAAAGCAATCTCAATACGAAATATGTATTGTTGCAAAAAATCAATATCACATTGTCGACCTGATTTTCAAAGATGCTGTTTCGTCGGCGTGTTTCCATTTGCTGGCAAATTTTCATCACTTCTATAGAACTGATGTAAAACCCAAATAATGTTCGTTGCTAACAAAATAGTTGTCACTATTTTTGTAAGATTTTGTTCGAAGGATAGGTTTCGACGTACTGGATATTGGTGAGTCTGCTACATAAAACAAGACTGTTTCGAGTTCTAATGCTATTACTACGCATTTGCCACTGGCATCGAGGAGGAACTACTTTTTTATAAACATCCATATAAGACCGTTAAAAAACAATTTATTAAATCAAATAGTTTTTTCATTAAAAAGAACAAGCGAAAGTAATAATAGCTGGAAGGGACCAGAATAATAATAGAGTAGTTTTAATGGACATGCTAACAGTTTCAAGTTACAAAAGCATCAACGAATTCTAAGAACCGATATAAGGCCATAAAAAAGAACACCCCAAGAACCTACTCCGCTTTCACCAACGGCTTAAGTTCGACTTCCTTCTCCTGAATGCATAAGGTTTGAATTATCGCCACATATTGAGCGGAATTATTTGGCAGTTTATTCTTAAGCAATGCGTTCACCTGAAACATTCAGTTCACAACTAAAGTTGTTTTGCACCGACTGCGAAAAATATTCCGGTTCACTAAACCACTCATATCGCAGCAACTTCAGCAAGCACTTTTTAGGAAGGATTTCATTACTATTACTAGTGAAAAATAACAAATCTGGTGCAGATGCTTCGAAAACGTTACGTCTCTAAACGACAATTCAAACCTAGTAGAAACGTTTCCACTTGGCTCTTCTAAATCGCACTTTAGGACTAAGCGAAACTGCTTATTTAACAACATTAAGGAGAGAAAAGAAAAACACGCACCACTCTCACTTCGTGATAAATCAATTCCTACTGACACTTTTGCTGATGTAAACGCAAATGACGACAAATGCCTTTAGGCAACAAAAAATTCTACATTTAGGTGCTACATCTTACTTTGGAAATGAAAACTGTTCGTAGGACCGCGAGAAAAGAGAAATATCCACAAATCCGATCTCATAAAAACCGTGACAGCCTGTTATGCGGCATTCTCTTTGCCGTGAAACGATTTTCCGGCTTAGAGCAGCATCTCATCTCTCGACGGGTGTCGCAAGCGAACCCTTCCGGGAACACCGAGAAAAGTATGGATTTGAATAATTCAGAAAAATGAAGTGGTCAAAAAACGAAAAGCACGCTGAAGACGACTGAAATAGTGGCCTGGCAAAAAAAGTTGAATAAAGTTCCCTTAGCAAAATTCGTGTAAACTGTTAACTAGTTGTTACGGTCTTTCATTTACTACTCAAACGGCTTAACGCCTCATCGTTCCTGATAGGTGTTCCTGGTTATCAAGCTTTGTATAGTGGAGGGTTCATCCACTCAGCAGGGCCTCCTATGTGCGAGAGTTCAACGCTTTCGTCCGGAAGTCCAGCTAAGACTAAACAATACCACCGTCCTGGCATCAAAGTAGTCGCATGCTGCAAAGCTTTCTCCTATTTCATATCTAATCATTTCACACGAAATCCCACTATCGTGCTTGGCTATCGTGGGATCGATCCCTGCTCCCAAAGACCATCAAGCCTTCCATCCCTCTGGGGTCGGTAAATTGGTACCAGACTTGTCTGGGAGGATAGCAGCACTGGCTTAATACATCGGTAGGCCATCACGAGTTATTCTAAATACCAAATATGCCTCCATTCACCTACAAACGATGTTAGATAAAGTTGAATGCAGAGCGCTTCCCTCAGGGCTCCAAGAACTTTATCCTTTTTTATTCTTTAACACAAATGTTCTACGTTTGCAACCCATACTGCTTGGACGATTGATCTCTATTGGTGGTGTGGGCTATAGCGGAATTTCCACTCGTTTCTCTTTCTCGCTCGAATAGCCAGTGACGGTGGTCTGCCCCAAGCATGGTTACGTCCATGAGGAGCGTCTTAAATTCCTAAAAACGTTTTCATCTGCGAATTCACGTGGTTTACACTATCCACGAACAAGCCCAACCATCGTTTCGATGGTCTTCCAAAAAAAAAACGCTTGCATTCTGTTGGAATCCATTCCACTGTTCGTTTCCTCCATTTGTCATCTGATCCTTTTATTATGTGAACAGCCCATTTATGCTTTCCCATCGATGTGTCTCAAAGGCTATATAGGTTTCGAATGTCTGAGCAGCGCAGTCCAGCTATTCTTTGATTAGTCATAAACTCCAGCAAAGAGATTTTTAAAAACATTTTCTCCAGTAATGATGCACTAGAGAGATTCAAAATTTTCTCATTTTTGATGCAACAGCCTAGAATTTTTAATGCACAGTTTCAATTCGACATGAGACGAAAAAGTTGGGTTAAAAGAGAAAGGAAAAATACAAGGCGGATTTTGTACTAAATAACCCATGCGCACTATGCACTTCGACACACATTTCAGCAAAGGATCTCGATCCAAGACGTTTTCGAATTTGGGTATCTTTTGCGTCCTATGCGCTCAACACCGATAGATTTAAGGTAGCATATTTGATAAGTCGCACTATTAAAAAGACATTGAGCTTTGTTCATGCATGTAATGTGTCGGTTCTATGAAATCCTTTTCAGAAAAGTTTTAGGGAGATGCGTCGGACGAGAGGAATACCAACTTGTCTGTTTCTCCTTTTCAATGCTCCATACTTCGCTTAAAGAAAACTTTATTAATAATTCCCAAAAAAAACGTGATGACAAGAGAGTACGTTCTTGTATACGATACAGAAAGGTGGGTTTAGTTCAGATCATCATCATATTTTGGCGGCACAGCTAGGTGAACAGTTGGTTGAGTTGTTTGAGCTGAAATGAATTAATTATGATGACGATGAAGTGAAAAGTTTTCTCCCACAAAAACAGCACATATTCGCTCAGTTCTTGAAAACCTATCTTCACTTGATCTCGCATTAAATAGCCAATATCTTACTGAATTGTTAAACATACACAAGATGTTTAACATTTCAGTAAGATATATTTCGTAAAGCTTACATACTATAAAACTTCTAATCGGCTGACATTCCAGCCACACTGCTGGCTCGATACGTGTCGACAGCAGTTGTTCCTTGCGATCCGTGGAGTCTTGCTAACGGCATCGAGTAGCGTCTGCTGGAGCGGAACATCGTAAGAATGAAGCAACCTTATCGATGATGTCCTTTTATACTAGACCCTCTCTTACTAACCAGCGGTCGGTGATTATCTGATTTTGTGAAAACAACCTGTCCTGCAGCATTCGAAATCACAATGTTCTTAGATATTCATGTGCTTTGATAAATGCCGACGATAAGACGATCAATATTTAGAGTTAACAGAAATCTAGGCAAGGACGAGCTGCAGCTGTTATCATGACGATTTTGATGCCGATCGGTTACGAAACGAGGCTATTGATTTTGACATTGTCAATATATCCGACCTATCACAAAACCTGTGATGGTTTCAATTGTTTCTCGTAAAAATTTGCCCTAAGTGCCCTAAGTGCCATTCATACGAAGCATATTTTGTTCGACAAGAGAGTAAACATGTCTTAGTAATCTCTTATCTATTTTATTTCACATGGCCAATCGTCACGTCTACTGTGCAGATCATGGCACTTCCTACATTTGATCCGTTCTCCTCGAATTCTGCATAAGGCCTTCGAACATTTCGCGTGTTGCTTCAGCGTGAACTTGGAGATTTTGCCCTCTTTATGAATGCGTTGCAAAAACGTCGACAAGGCGATCTCTCCTCAGTTAACTCATCAAGTCTTCAAGTTCTCGAAGACTCTTTCTAACTGCTGAGTTACCCGCTGACGTCCTGAAATTTACTTCTCTTTTGTCGACACGAACTGTCTGGGGTTTTGCAAATATCTCAGCATCACTACGGTTATATTGAATTGAACTCAGCACGTTGTCGATAATTTCAACAGTGATATCGTTACTGTTTAATTTTCTTCATTGTGTTGTTTCTTTCCGCTATAATTTTCGTATGACATAACGAAACAAGAAGCATATGACTAATGTTATCAGAACAGCGAACAACCTGAAGAGCGCCTACTGTATAGAACGTCTGGTAACTGTACAATGAGGTCGACTGAGAAGATGGAAGAGCTGTGGAAAGAACTACCTTGAAGAAATCGGCAATGTGAGCTGATTTTTGTTTTTCCAGGAAGCCCAATTATCGTTCAAACTTGTGAATTCCTGTTCATCTTTTTGAATCCACAGTTCTTGTGCTCTACATCACTTACAAAGCACTCGAGAATTACCATCGAAGATCATTTAGTGCACTCCACTTCGAGAACTTCGTACAACTCAAATCTCTGGAATAAGTTGAAAATTTGGCAAAACGAATATGCGTCTTAAGTGAAAGGTCCATTAATAGTTTATACAATGGAGTATTTGGTTTACGTTTGTCGACTAGGTGTTCTTTTATACGCACGCAGACTGGTCTACCCGTTTCGCCAACGTATTCGTCCCCGCACGCTTTACAAAAGTTCAGATATGTACCCGAACTCATGCAGTCTCCACCATTGGGGCAAAGTATGCAGTTTTGCGTTGCATGAAGACGATCGTATAGGCGGTTGCGAACTAGCTGGTGTCTTAGATTACTCGGTGGTATTTCAATTATCGTTACCGAATTCTTTAGACCAGTCCTTCTTAACGGTCTGCTACTCTACTGTAAATGTATAGATTACTGCTTGGTCATTTGTTCAACACAAGAAAAAATTGACAAATGTTTCGAGTTGTTGAACGAACAGTCAGAGTATATTAAATTGACCCGAGAGAAACCAAAAGAAAACTGGCTTCCATTTCTGAACGTACGAATAAACCTATCAGAAAACGGCTACCTTACGGTATTACGAAATGGTATCAAAAGCCAAGTAGTAAAAACATCTTGGTTCATTACCTCTCCTCTCATCCCTCTCACACGAAAAGGGCGCTTGTGAGAAACGTATTTCGAACAGCTACCAGCGTGTGCACAGAAAGAGAGTAGATAGAGGAGTCCCGGAACTTGGCGCGGCAAACA